TGTGTTCAATATTCTGCATCATACTGTTTAGGCCTTTTCCTCCAATTTTAATAGTTTTATTGTTTCAGGTCACGTGACTAGAGTGACGTGTCACGTGACTGCAACTATCTGATTAATTGACATCATACATGCTGGGCGGCCTGATTTAATCATTTGTAGCGAATTTCGTGCAGATTCACCGATGTTTTGCTGGGTTTTGTAAAGATCCTTGATCCAGCCTCGTTTTCATGTTGCAGGAGCGAGACCACCCCCTTAAATACCATACCAGTTAAAATCAACGTTGGAAACAGCAAAATTCTTAACAAGGACCACAAGACGAACATTTTAAGCCCTGTTTCCTGCTTCTACTCAAAAAGTTTAGCGAAACTCAAAATTAAGCGCCCTACAGGATACTGCTACTTGACTATGAGGGTTCCAGAAAAAGTTTTAAAGGCAAGGTAATCAAATGAATGAGGAATTGCAACGGGTATGGGCCGCACCAAAATCATCTGAAGTTTTCTAATGATTAATTTGTCGGGTCAGGTAGTTGACATAATTATTTACATTGAAAGAGTTTGTCACTGACTCTTAATTCATTGTTGTATAGATGTTTTGGCTAGTGCTTAAGCCTTCATCAGTAATGAAGATGAGACACGTTGTTACACATTACATGTACTTGAAAAAACTTAGCGCAAGGCTGACCTTGTCGTTTTTTTTGTTACCTGAGACCCTCCTCTTATCTGGAACACTGCATGCAGTACTTGTACCCGGACTGCTTGATCCAAAGTCTAACTCACTATTATCATTAATTATTAAGTCACTGAGTCTCCCATAATTATTAGCAGATTATTACATCTGCTTTGAATAAATTACAATTATTGTAATTTATTCAAAGTAGACATACAAGTTGGCGATACATATGTATGTATGTGTACACATAGATCGACGGTGTACATGATTGTATAACTGACAATGACCTACAACTGTTCAGACTTTCACAAGGTTTTAAAGACAGTGACACACTGAGCTACGACTATATCAAGATAACTCATGAATCTCTTACCGCTTCTCTTGGCCTTCGCAGAAGAAATAAAAGACATATTCCTAAACCACAAACAGTTGTGAACACTGTATATACTGTTCTTCTCACAGAGGGCTCTAAAAATCAATCGAGATAAACATACATTGTTGTTCTTGTTCTTGTTCTTGTTACAGTAGAATCCTGAAAGTTGCAATAAGGTCATTATCTTTGTTTTTAGCAGCTTCATTCCTAGATTGCTAATTTCAGGTGGTCATTACTGCAGTACTTAAGGTTACTGTAAACCTTCGAGGGTGCCTTCCGGGAAATCTTTCCTATGCGCGTTGTTTTAGAGGAAACCCTAGAAAGCTATATATCACTGTAAAGGTAATAGAATGAAGAATCCGATAAAAGCACTACTTTTGTCCGTTTTTGTTCTGTTAGGTGCGCGCAAGCCTTCGAACGCAAAACTGACAGTGTCTGCTTAACTGAGTTACAAGCCTTCGCGTTAAAGCGGACATAAAAACAATCTGGACTATATCATTCAGGAGATAATGGGCTAACAAAGTGTGTGAGGCTTTTCCAATACTCTCATTGGTTCCCGAAAAAATCTATTTTAAAGTTAGACAATGGATATATTTTCGATGCGTGTTACGCGCTGGGATGCCACGCGAAAAATATGTCGAATTTCATGAAAGCCTCACACACTTTGGTTTATTTATGTCTAACAAACATTTTGGCCAAATTTCAATAAAATCCAACAAATCTACATACCCTGTTAATTCATTTGAAGAGAGTGAACTTACACAAAAACAAATCCGGAGTTTTCAGGCTGAAAAGATTTTCGTAGTTTTCACACTTAATCAAAGCGGGTGTGAATGCGGTCATGCCGCCGACCAATAGAACACAACATAGGAATCCCCCAGAGAGCCTTGTGACAAGGCAGTTTATTGAAATTCACGGGGAACGACATTTCCATGCTTAGCGACAGGAGAATATTGGGGAAAGCGAAGTCTGGAGCACAAAATTCATCGGCGAAACCGAATCAGTGGAAAAGAAAACAACCGCAGCGGAATGCACTGGAAGAACAAAGGAAAAAAAAGGCTGGTGAAAGTGGCGACGGAACTGGAATTCATCCAAAGCAAGCGTTGTTTGCGGCTATAAATGCACGCAGGTATTAAAGCTTTCCTTGATAACAGCCCTTTCCTCTCTTTTCTCCATAAACGGCATACGGAAGCGTAGATTTTGGTGTCATAAATTACAAGACACAAGTATAAACACAAGAATCAAAGCGACGTGAAATACGAGGCGGGGAGTGATGCGAAAAACGTCACGGGGAGCTCTGGGTTGACACATTCTAATTGCCTTATAACACTTAAGCGGATTTTTTACTTTTATTTGAAAACACGTTTTTGTCGATAACTCGCGCGCATTTCAAGTTTTTCAAATTATCCTTTTTGGAAAATGAAGATAAAATAGTAGTCTTAATTCGGCTTGAAAAACAAATTTTTCAAAAAATTGTCCCTTGAAGGTTTACAGTAACCTTAAATTACGGGGATTGCTAAGTTTTGATACAGTCAAAGCTCTCCTTGCGACTATTATTGTACGTAAGTGACCAGCTCTAGTTATGACCACCATTGTGAAACCCTGTTTGAATTGTCACTCAAACTCTGTAATTAAAAGCTCTTAAAAGTGACTGCTCCCGTAAGCGACCGTGACCACTTTTGGGAATATCCAACTGGGCTTTTCCTTTGTTTTTCTATACATTAATTTTGGGCAACAAGATCCAACAGGAGCTCAAAGTACAAGAGAAAAAACTGCCTATTGTAAACCAGCAGCGTGTAGTGTATAAATTTCAATGTGACTTGTGCGATGCAAGTTATGTAGGGTACACACTCAGGCACTTACACCAACGCGTGGTTGAGCATAAGAACAAGTCATCTTCCATTGGCAAGCACTATAGAGACAAACACTGTATTGTCCCGAAAGACCTTGACAAACACTTTTCCGTCCTCAAGAAGTGTGACAATAAGTTTGATTGTTTAGTGCATGAAATGCTGCTAATTAGAGAATTGACACCATCTCTTAATGTCCAATCGGACTCAATTCGAGCCAAACTATTTGCGCGACATTGCATAATTATTTATTATGTTAATCTTCAGTGAACTATTATATTTCTGACAGTTTATTCTAATCATTTTGAACTTGAAAATGGCGTCAAGACGACTCCGAAACGTCGTTCGTTTATATCGTTGATTTTTACATGCTTATGTATTAATTTTATGAGACATTAAAATCATCTGAATAAGTCCCAGAGAAGTTTTCAATCTCTATGGATGTATGACCTGTACATTCACAAACCTCTTCTGTGATAGGCAATACATGTAAATATTAAACTATATCAATACCAAGCTTCATGCTAAAAGCTCTTGTAAGCAACTAGTCACGTGGTCGCTTATGAGGGCCCATTCTCGTTAGCGACAACCTCTAGTTACATGTACTCCCGAGGTGGTCACTTAAGAGAGCTTCAACTGTAGTCAAATCCTGTTTTACAATATTTACAAACTGCTCAGTAACACAAAGTTCTGCACACTACAAAATTATTACAAATTATTGCCAAATTGTCAAATTTGGGTTTCTGACAGTTTTTAACTCCAAGCTCATGACCACGGAGTCAAAATGAGTATACTAAACTGACGTTTTTCGATTTCTGAAAGTAAATGGTATGTTACTGTCAAAGTAATAAAAGCGTGAATGCCAAAAAATATGTCTGGAATGCTGTGTTGTGACCAATCACATGCGAGGTCTTGAAACCACAGACATGCAGTGAATGGGTTTCCATCAGCCACGGAACAATTTTGGTTCACGTTTCATTTCAAAATACGTCCTTTGTCTTATAATAATGTTCATGTAAATGTATGTCACTGTCTTACAACTAAATACATACATGTACAGTACATGTCGACAAGTCTGTAAGCATGGTTTTCTTTTTTGTGGGGGGAGAGAGTACTGAGAGGTTGAAAGTTCTTGACATTAGTCCGTAATATTTTCACGCTCCAAACTGTTGAAAATCAGGTCCAGTATAATTAATTAAATAACTATTTTTACTAGACGGTCGCTGAGCTGCTACTTCTGGGGTGTCGTTACTTATGGGGGGGGGGGGGGGGGGGGCACTACATGTACTTTCAAGACTCTATGGTATAATTATGATAAAAGCTCAGTTACAGTTTACTAATTCGAATAATTATTATTATTATTATAATCATGGCCTTTTCATCAATATTTCTAAACTGGTACTTAAGAAAAAAACATGTAAGTGTGATGTAACTGAATGCGATCACTACATTGTACAGTGGAACCCCGTTAATACGACCAATGTTGGGCCATGAAATTGTGGTCGTATTAACGGGGTGGTCGTATTAACGGGGTAGGGTCAAACTACATGTACACTCTTCTAAATAATGCCATAACAACTATACCTTTAATTCCGCTATAAATGAACCTTTTTAACACGCTAATCACTAACAACTTTGCCGGACAACATTCACTAAAATGCATTATTGTTTGTCAGATTGTGTCTATTTTCATTCAGCAGTCTCACCAGGCATTTTGACTGGTCGTATTAACGGGGTAATTTTATAAAGAAAATAACGATTGGGGACTCCAAAAGGTGGTCGTTGGTCGTAATAATGGGGTGGTCGGATTAACAGGGTTTTCAGATAAGAAAAATGAGTGGGCTTTTGTTCGGGCCATAAAAAAGTGGTCGTAATAACAAGGTGGTCGTATTAATATAGGGTGGTCGTATGGCAGGGTTCCACTGTAGTTACATGTACTTTATAATAAATTTAGTATGCAGTATATACTTACCAATTGAGTCTGATTGATCTTTAAACTGAAAGTACACATACATGTTTCCAAAGAGCAAGCTGCAAGAAAAAAGAAACGTGTTAATAAATTCATAATTAAAGTTAATATTAACTATAATAATAAATATTGTGGGAGGGGCGGCGGCCTAATGGTTAGTGCATTGGACTCTGGATCAAATGGTCCGGGTTTGAGCCCTGGCCAGGGTCATTGTGTTGTGTTCTTGGGCAAGACACTTTACTCTCACATTGCCTCTCTCCACCCAGGAATAAATGGGCACTAGCAAATTGTTAGCAACTGGAGGGCAACCTGATAAAAATGCTCGCGGTTACATGTACATGTATGTAGCTGTGATGGACTAGCATCCCATCCAGGGGATCGACAGGGGAGTAGTGATACCAGAGCAGAGTTAAAGTCTCAGCCTTGTAGACAGACTTCAACCTTTTATTATTACTAACAATACAGTATTATACATGTCAAAAACAGTGAGAAATGTACTGTAATAGAGCTTGCACATAACAAAAGAGCTGGAGATTAGAGCTGAAATAAGCTCAAAGTATCTGGGAATCAGATGACCGGCAGAGAGGATAAAGAAATAACTAAAGGTTCTCTGGAGCCAATAGTTGGCGTTAAAGAGCTGGGCATGGAAATGGATTGGAAACATATAATGGAAACATAGCACAGACAGCCCTGTGAACCCACAGGGCAGGAGAAAGAGGCACCGTGGCCAAGTGGAGGCAGCGAAGCAGCGTGGCCGAGTGGTTTAGGGTGCTGGTCTTGTAATCCGGAGGTCCTAGGTTCAAGCCCTCCATCCTGCCTAGCTGGATTTGTTCTCAGTAGTTCTGAGTTCAACTCCTAGGCCACACTTGTAAAATAGCCAACTGGTCAGGTCTGCCTCCCGCCAGTTGGGATTCTTAAACCATGTTATGTTAATTTACAATAAATTTGTTTCTGTATTTATATGGCCCACAATGTAAACTACTGGGTTTACCAGTAATTGTGTATTATAGCCAGCAAAGTTAATTTTCTTTTTTTTTAGAAAGAGGGGACGACCTGTTCAGACTTGAAAGTGTTTCCTGACTCATTTGGCAGAACCACAGGCAAAAGGTGTGACATGATTGCTATTTCTTTCAATCTTACTCAATTCAATACTTACCTACACTGTAGTAATGCCCAAAAGATGCCACTGTTTCTTGAAATGGTTTCAGGAGTGGAATTTATGTTAGAAAGTTACCTTGTCCTGTCCATATTACTACAGGAAAAAAAGACACACTCAGTTTAAGACGAAATCCATTAGAAAATCGAGTAATATTTCTGGCCAGTGGACAAAAATCCTGTACTACGACGCCATAAGCTTTCACGCTTAAACTAGACATTCATGAGCCATACCTTAACGGTATTCGCCAAATAATATAACTCCACAATCCTTAAATTGCTTTCCGCCTTGAGTTTCCTCCCGTGAATTGGTTGAGTCATGAGAGGTGGCAGCAGAGTTTTTGTTAAACATGGCTGCCACCTCTCATGACTCAACCAATTCACGGGAGGAAACTCAAGGCGGAAAGCAATTTAAGGATTGTGGAGTTATATTATTTGGTGAATACCGTTAAGGTATGGCTCATGAATGTCTAGTTTAAGCGTGAAAGCTTATGGCGTCGTTAGTACAGGATTTTTGTCCACTGGCCAGAAATATTACTCGATTTTCTAATGGATTTCGTCTTAAATAAAATACAGTCAACTATTGTATGATTTGTTTAATATTTTTTATTATATGGCAAGCAATTCTGAAGTTAAATTGAGTGTAATTCCAAGAAAAGAGTATGGGTTATAACCAGCCACTTTTAACGTCAGTTAATTGTGTGGTTCCAGAAAATATCCATAACCCCACCACAGAAAGTATTTTGGTTTGAACCCCCACACCACCCCACGGGAAATTTCTGTTTAGCTTCATACTTTCCTTTAAAAATTTTGGCTTTTGAGATCCCCTTCCCCTCAGAATTTCCATTGACCTTCCTTGGGGTGGGTATGGATACATGTATGTCAGTTGGAACTGCACATTACATAACAAAATTTAATAATAGATTCCATTTGGTTGTGTACAAGTCTGTACTCTGACTAATAAATTATGTGCAAATAATGTCAAAACATGACAAGAACAAATAAATTTTGAAAGATTATCCTATCTAGACTAGTGAGTCATGTTACAGGTACGTACATTATTAGAGTACAGATCTACGGCCAAATGAAATCTATTCATTTTGTTTCATACAATTTGTGGCGCCATTGTGATGTCATTTGTCTGTGTGTACTCTAATAATGGACTGCCTTAAACCAGCACAAGTTTAACACAGCTTATTGTACATGACTGTATTAATACAAAATATAATATTATAAACCTAATAAAATTACCACTTGCGCCATAGCCAATAACAACTGACCCAGCATACACACTCCACGCTCTTGGTTCAATGAGAGTAGCTATAAACAAACTGAAATACAATCAATCCATCAGCACATAAATAAATAATTGACAATTAATGGCAAATTTATTATTCTATCTACACAAACATGTAGTTGAACCTCTTATACAATGTAAGCGACACCATGTTAAGCCTAGGTGGTCACTTACGACAGGTCATACCACAGCCTGGGTCTAAGTTTTAAGTCATAACCTGAAGTAGTTTCAGAGGCTTAATCCACGGGAAAATGCATCCATAATCCCTAAATTTATACCATTAGTACAATAGACCTTTGTCCAAAATGGCCGCCGCAACTCCAAAATGATTAAAATTAAACTGATCGCGGGGTGTGAGCGGAAAATCAATACCAGCACCTGAAAGACCACCTCTTGTTTGGTAATCGTACAAAGTTTTGTTAGGTTAGGTTCTACCTGTGTCGATAAAACGGAAATTGAAAACTGGAAAATTTAGAGACGTTTGAATGACTGGGGGCCGGTATACACCATACCCCCAGTCATACAAACGTCTCTACATTTTCCAGTTTTCAACTTCCGTTTTCTCGACTCAGGTAGAACCTAATGTAACGAAACTTTGTACGATTACCAAACAAGACGTGGTCTTTCAAGTGCTGGTATTGATTTTCTGCTCAGCTTAATATAAATTTGTGACGGCCATTTTGGAGAAAGGTCTATTATCCTTCAAGAACAAATTTATTAATTTTCAAGAATGGATTTCCCCAATCAGTACATGAATGTTTTAACAGTGCAATTTCCAGTTTCCAATAAAAACAATGTCATGCTGAACCAATGGTGACTTGTTCCTTCTTTAAGTTAATATATCTGAGGTGCCAAGTACAGTGTATATATACATGTAGGGAACATCAAGTTATAAATTTGCAAGAACAAATTTTATCAACATTTCAGGGTTATGTGGTCTTTCAATATTACACAATTTGGGAGATTGTACATTGTATATCATTATGAAACTTGGTTACTACATGTCACCGGAGGTTAAAAACATGTCAAACCATCTACCCCAAAAGTGGTTGTGGTTGTTTACAAGATCGAGAGTCACTTACAAGAGGTTCCAAATACAGTGATTTGACTGGAGAAATTTTGGTATTTTGGAAAAGTGGTCGCTTACGACAGGTTGCACATCAGAGAGGTTCTACTGCATTATATTATTGAACTAGCATGAGGTGAACTCGTATTGGAATAGATTCTCTTACGCATAGCAGATCCCTCCAACTATCATGGAGACTCTTGGACCAAACAATCCAACAAAAAGATGGTGCAAGCCAGTTTGCAACAGTGAACACAGCATAGATGATACCCAGGCTACAAAAAAAAAACATAATTATTATAATTATTACATTACATAATGTGTGTTGACGTGTAATTTCTGTAGCGTACGAACTAATTAATTTTGTACAAGGATTGTTCCATACCTTAGATATCCGTTTATTGATGCTGAAAAGAAAACAGACAGTTAATACATGTACATTTATTCATCTGAGATTTCCATATATATAATTATGCAACTGGTATGTACTAATTCATGCAACAAACACACATTTGAAGCTTGTTTGGCAAATCTTCAAATTAAAAATAAATTAAATAGGCTTTGTGACACTCTTTTAGCACTTTTTGGTTACATGGATGCTCGCATTTTTCCTTGTCCAGCTCGGAAAAAATACTACGCAACTCGCAAAATATCTGGGAATATTATTATTAATATTAAACCATCGAATAAGGTGTGTATATAATAATTAATTTCTCAGAAAATATATGTCCGTATATTCCACATCATGGAATAACCTGCAGTTACTTAACTACAAATTAAATTTAATATTTCATACACTCTACATTTCTCACTTACTGTTCTGCTGCAGTACTGTGGGCTGATGAAGAAAAGAAGAGGAATGTTGGTTAATACATGACAGTACACATGTACTGTAGGCAGTGGAACCCCGCTTTACGGACACGTGGGATGTGCGGCGCGCTTCTTGAAACCCATACCCTATTTCAGACCAAAATATGTGATTTTCCATACCCTATTTCAGACTTGACCCAAAAATCGATACCCTATTTCAGACCTATAAAATAAGTACATGTACACGTGTCTAATACTATACATGATTTCAGCTACCCAGGAATGGGTTCCGTTTGTGTAAACATTTCAGAAGGGCTTCAAATTCCCCAATGTTAATGGAAAAAATACAGTCACTGTGTAGTTTCGTCTAAACCCAGACCAAATTCCAGGCCAGAGTGCACAAAACATACCCTAATTCAGACCCAAAACAGCTCAAAAACCATACCCTTTGGCACCGCACATACCTATATAGTTTATATAAGGGAGTACCCCCTCCCCCATGGGTGTCTGGCAAACAATAATATTTCAGTTAAACTTTCCCAAAAGAGGTCTGAATCTAAACTGTAGCTTGATTGGTCCGAATTGGGGAATACTGGTTTTTGCAAGTTTAATTATTGGACCATAAATTGCAAAAAAAAAAAGAACAACCGATATTTCCCAATACAGACCTCATGCTACAATATAGCTCAATAACATCTACTGATATATTATTGATTCCAATCAGCCTGCTTCACACACTGTTGGTTACAAACAGTTTCAAAAATACTGATCACATGATATCATTTTTATGGTACGCTTGGCCGGTAAAGTTGAACTGGCAATGACGAAAATGTTTACCCGCAGACGCAACTCGTATCAATGTTGGCACCCCTTACAGGCCAATTTTTTCTTCCCAAGAAAAACTTTCGCTGGGAAAAGACAGGGAAGATTTCCCTGTGTTTGACGTCACAGTTGCAACAAGTCAAGTTGCGGCTGCAGATTAAACATTTTGTTTATGCGAGCTAATATGAAATGGTATCATGTGATCAGGATTACCAACTGTACCGCGGTGCATGAAGCAGGCGGAATTTTAACCTTCATCAACAGCTGTCTGGGAGTACATACATGGACAGTATAAAAATTACTGTAGATATTAATAATAATTATTATTCCTCGCGAAGCGAGGCCGAAGGCCTCGCGTAGCGGGGTTTATAATTCTGTCCCCCAAGAGCTCACGCGAGAGCAATTCTCGTGTGGCCTTTACGGTCATATTTATTTATTTATTTATTTGTTTGTTTGTGGAGTTGGGGGATGTCATGACGTCACACGCGCTCGTGGCCTAATGGCTTAAGGCGCTAACTTTTAAATCTGATCTTCAGGATTGAGGGCGACAGTTCAAATCCTAAAGCGTCCTTTTTTTAATTTTTTTTTATTTAGGTTCGAATCCGGGCCGTTCTCTCTCTTTTTTTTTTCCTTTTCTTTGTTTAATAACATTGACTTCGACGTAATCTG